ATCTGCTGCCATTTTCGTGGCAAATGAAAAGCACATGGTTTTGAAGTGCGCCTGCGATCCCAGTTTCGGAAGAAGCCGATGAAACAATATGGTGCGCCATGAACACAGTATCGACGTGTCGAAATACATTCAATTTTTTTGATTATCTTGTAATATTCAGACATTATTTTACTGGGGACGGAAAGGTGAATTGTATACTAGCTACCATATCCGATTGATTTCCTAATATAAAGATTTAAAAAATAAAGTTGTGTCATGGTTTTCTTTAGTTATCGGACAAAACGCGAGTCGCCAGCTGGCGAGCAGTTCTGAAAATTTAGTCACCAGTGCTCAATTTTTGGTCGCATTGGCGACCAGTGAGTCGCAATTTCGAGCCCTGGAACAGGATTCGAACCCATTCAACTCTGCGATACCAGTGCAGTGCTCTACCAACTGAGCTATCAAGCCAACTGGGAGCCGGCTACATTGTGAGTTTGTAATATATGCGTAGATGCTGAAGAATGCAAATGAATATATGAAAGATCATGTATTTGAACTGCAGAGAAAGACATGCAGACATGATTGATCATCGCAGTTTTTTTTTTTTCCTTTTTTTTTGTCAGGCTTTAATTTCACAACTGCTTAAGTTGTGTGCATAACTTCGATGATCAATCATGTATCTTCATAAAAATGTATTAATAATAATTATCATATCTCAAAGATTAAAACGACCGTCGGTAAGATGTAAAATTTGTATAACACGAGTAAGAAAATTACTTCTGATCATTGCTATCAGCTGGGACCAGGCCAATATCTAGTAATCATTAATTTTTAATTTGCACTGCTCTGCAAATTAATGCAGGGGCATTCAGTTCTCAGTCACAATTATGATTGCATAAAAGTTTGTCAGAGCAATTACAGATTTATACTACTCCTGATAATTGAAAATGTTTTAATGGTACCCATCATCTTAAAAGCTTGTGCAATTTTTAGTGAGTTTAACTTTTTGATAAGCAAATTATTCAAATGGTGGGTAGGTGCCAATTGACAGCAAAGCAGGATACGAGCAAGTGAGTGTGGGCAAAATGCAGATAGAGGCGGGTAACTTTGGCAAACTCCCACGGGTCACCTTCCCCTGATACCTGACACACTGAATTCTCAGTAAGTAATAGGTGAACTTACCTGGACACAAGGCCCACCATGAACCAAGAGGCAGGTGGGAGAGGGGAAACCAAGGGCAAAAGCGACAAAGCTATGTAAAGAAAGACCATGAGGACAGAACTACACCGCCATGACTCTGCATGCCCAAGGCGATCATCCACTGGCCAACAGCAGATCTCCCAGTTAACTCTGATTATTGATAATCTCATTTAAATTTAAGTATCACTTGCAGTGCAAATCTTTAACAGCAAGTCCTTTATGTGATCACCTCCATGTACATGTAATACTTAATATAAACTCACTAAAACATTGAACCCCCAAGTTTTATGACTTGCATAAAGACATAACCTGACAAGCTGTTTTTAGCTTGCACCATCAGGCACTAAAATGGTTACATATCACAAGCCTCATTTTGTTCCTCACCAACCTTTGATTGTCTGTTCTAGTTCCCCTTCTTTCCTCTTGAGAGCCTGCTCTGCTTGAGCCTGAGGTAAATTTGTCCACAACATCTCTAAAAATCTTTGTTTTTAACCGATCAAGCTCTCTGAAGATACTACGATCAGTGAAAAAAAACAGACAGATCAGGTTTTGGGCCTATGGCCCTAGTATAGATTTATTTATAACTTTACTACAAGTACTAATAATAAAAATAAAAAATCCTATAAAAATTATAGGAACTTGTTTTATTTAACATCGCTGTTGTTTGACAATACATGCAACTTCTGCCTGTTTCACTAGAATTTAAGTGTAGATACTGAAAACCCAGGAAGGATGGGGTACTTGATCCCAAGGGTTTGGAATCCTGACCCTGTTTTAGACAACAATAATCTAACAATACTACCCAGCCCCAAAACATACCCGTTCTAGCAGAATGTCCACCGACAAGTACTGTGTAGGCCACAAAAAGGAGTAACACCCCCCTTGAGGGGAGGAGGGGGGGGGGGGGGGGGGGGGGTTGAAATAGACTGACAAGACTGTACAATGTATGTACATGAAGGCCCATTTGCTCAAAGCACTGTGGTTGAGCTACATGTAACCCAGATTTAACATGAATTTCATATACCGTTGTGTTGCAACCTAGCTGTTCTTCTTTATTTTGTTTATCCTTCATTTCTATCTTTCACCAATATGTCTAAATCCACAAAGCATGAAGTGAGGAATTCAAGAATCTTAATCAAGAGATATTAGCACATGAAAATGTGATGGGTTTTTGAAAAACCAGCTTTTGGATAAGAAGTGATGAGAGAAAAATGTACTTAGTCTGGTAATAAAAAATGCAAATAATTTACACATATTCAACACTTAGACTGAAAAAATTCGTACTTAATGCCTTACTTGTATAAATATATGCCTGAAACTAGTGAACTATAGGTGCTAGCATTATATCATACTTGATTTAAACTTGTAAATAACCATTACACTGAACTTACCTATCTATCTGCTGGGAACCAGGCTGCACAGAGCTGTAATCAACTGTCATGGATGTGTACTTATCAACATCAAGATCTGTATCATGCATTTTAGATTCATCTTCTTCCTGTAAAACATGATAAACGAAGAAGATTGTTTAGTTTCACTTCCGCCATCTTGCCGATTACAATTTCCTTCCCAGGTTCTAGCGCTTGCTTAGCATCCGCGCCAGCCGCCGAAAAGCGCGGGAAACTTCAAGTACTTTTGCAAGGTTCTTTTTATCAAGACTCCACGAAAAGTTCTGAGTTTTTACGATAAATGAATAGCTATCTAGTCTTAAATGATATTTTCCTAATCGAGTGTGGACAATGGAGTGAAACTGAGTAAAGCTAAGGATGTAGCTGAGGTAAGGCAACAAATGTAAAACCAGTGAAGACTGGTTCGATTGAATTTCAGTCAAGCTCCGCCATTTTTTACACAAACCATATCATCACTTCCACGACGGATGTTAGTACAGTATTCAGCCTATGCAAAGCTCACGATATGAATTCCAGAGAAGACGAAAAGAAGAAGAAGGAAAGTATTTGCTTTGGTAAGCTATATAAGTTGCTCATGAACCCAGATATAAAGAGCAAACTTCTTCTTACAACAATATTTTATGCCCGACAGCTCGACACTTTCGGTCACCCCAAAACGCAGACCATGCAGACTGCAGACCGTGCAAACCGTGCAGACTGCAGACCGTGCAAACCGTGCAGACTGTGCAGACTGAGTACTTTTTTTCTAACACTTGACTTGACTCACTTTTTTTCGATTCTATTGACAAAATAGTGTTCAATATGTCCTAATGTTTGTTATTTACCCACAAGCGGCACAAACTCAACATCTGACTGTTGATTCACGCGTTTAATCAGTCCGGAATATCCCGATAAATTAGGACAGTCATGACGTCATGAAGCTATTGTTAGCAGGGAAAATGGCGGACCTTTTCTGCGGACAAAGAAAATATGTTGTTTCCAGTCTCGCATAGAGTCTGGCCGGCATTATCCAGGACTTTTTACGACCAAACGTTGAGAAGGAAAATAAGCGGCCATTTTGGTAGTGGGAGAACGTTGACTGTCTTCTAATCATTGAGTTTTTTTGGTGTCAAG